ATAAATTTTTGTTAGTGTTTTGTCTGAATAATAGCATGGGGGTTTTCGTCACTTCAAATATGCAAATTCTATTCTATTTGCAAAGCGGTTAGTCATTTTATGTTGTATGTAATTAAATTACCTACAATTTAAAATATCTAAAGTCATATTTCACTAATTTGTTAACTATAAAATAAAAGTTCAACGCGGAAAAATCAGTTTTCGAAAATGGCGCATTATTATTGCAAAAAGCCATGAATGTTGATGAAATTTATGGAAAAGACGGTCAATCCGATAGTAGCCCTTTACCACTAACAAAGTAAGACGTGCAAAAGCGTTATAAACATTGGCAAAAGTCGCTCGGGAATTCACTCTTTTTGCATTAAATAGAGCTTATTTTTACAGTAATTAAAAAAAATATATCTACGCCTCTTTGTTTCGAAGATAGCTTTCTTTTATAAAGTTTATAATAACTATTGGATATATCGAATCGGGATTTTAGAGACAATTAAAGAAAGGGTTAAACTTATATTTTCAGAAAGTTTTACATTTTTAGTTCATGTAATAAACGCGCTAGCAGCAGTAAATGTTATGTTAATTTCTAGACATTCAAGAAATGTATTACAGTTACCTAAATAGACTCTTTTAGTGTGACGTCACATATTTAGGCAACCCGCAACAAATTGTCATAATTGAAATTGTACAGACCGAATCTGACCCTTGTGCACTATTTACGTAGATACTAAAAATGAACAACTTCAAATTAATTTATTTTTACAAGGATTTAGAAGTATTTAAAAACAACCAACATGTGTTTGGTAAAATAGCTACACTAATGTGCTTAAAACTTACAAAAAACGATATAAAAGAATATTCATAAATTGAAATAAAGCAAAAATTTAACGTTAGTCTCATACGCAGGTGAGATCTTGATGATAAGTCATCGCTGTTGTCTTTAGCGTCTTTTCTCTTCCTTTGTTTAATCTTGGCATTTTCTAGTTCTAAGAAGTATTTTTATTGTTTTTCTTGGTGTCGTGTTGTGTCGAATGTTTTTTTCTTCAAGTGATTTATTATAGACATACTCTTAACCACAACCAAACCTTCTTGAACGATATCCTCTCGCGAGGCTACTTCACTTACATGAAATTATCTGTAATGCGCATACTCAGTAGCGTTGATATAATTTTAATTTATTATTTACTATAAAAGTCAATATTATATAAATTTAAATATATAAGTTCTATATTTTTTTTTTAGTTTGTCACTTGGGGTTTGAAACTTTTTAAATATTTCTAATATTGCCAGCATATCGCAATATTGAAGGTCATGACAAAGAAGCCTTTTTGGAAAATTGATCTAGTAAAAATATTGATTGAGAGTAATTCTTCATGACAATGTGCACCATGGGGTTGCTTATTATTTGGCGTATGTGGCGTCACTACTAAAACGGTTTATTGCAAAGACTTACCAGAAGTCTCCGAGTCAAACCATTTTAAAGATAAATGAAAAATATTTCTTAATACCATAGAAGAAAATTCTTAGAGACAGTTGTTTTTATTTAAGTTTTCAATATAATAATAATAATAAAATTATCATCTACAAAGGACAGTAACGGGAAGGATATTTCAATGTCTAACATTTATTTATCACTTGAACTTTTGCGAAAGTAACAAGTTGTTTTTTTTTTCTGTTTTATAGCCACAACTCTAATTACAGATGTGGTGTTAAAAAGTAACTTTATTTATTACTTTTGATATTTTTTTCTACTTACAGTACTGCCCCGAAATAAAAAATAATAAGGGTACATCAAGTGCGCACAAACGTATATACATTTTGTTATTTAGACTGGGGGCTTGTAATGTTGCACATTTTTTTCCTCTTTTACTCCTACTTTCACACTGACAGTAGCTATTTGTACACGCCATAGTCTCTTGACATATTCTACAACTCTAGCCATTCATAAGCCCACTCTAATCCCCCAACACGGTGTTTGTCGCGTCCTTTATTTCCTTGAATGCGGAAATACAAAAAAGTTTGATATACGCTTTCCGAATATTCGGGGATTTAGTTAAATATTTTCTCATTATTTATAACTGGTTAGTCTCGTAGGATGCAATAAGTAAAACGCTTGTTCAAATTTTGGTGGTGGATTCTACGTCATAAGTTAACAAGAAAAGCTGATATAAATGTAAATGATATTTTGTTTAACTGCGCATTCACGACGATAAATCAGTACGATCTACGAAAAAAAGTTAAATAGAATTTTTTTGTTTTTGAGTTACAGGCCTTCAAAGATGTTAAAAATAAAACTAATATAATTAATAACTTCATAACCAATCCTTTTACCGATCGCGTTAAAATTTGGCACATTTATTTGGACTATTATGGCGTATTATTTCGTAAAACTTTTGTCAAATCGATATACTGGGTGGTAGCTTTCTCCCCCTTTTAGCGGCCAAAACTTTTACAGTAGTCGTATTTTTTTAAAAAAGGCAGAAACATTGAAAAGTTCCTTTTATTTAAAAAAAAATATATGTCTCTTGAGAAATTCTCCTACAGAAAATCGTTCTTGAGAAATATAGCATTATTTGCAGGTGTGTATGTTTTGGTCTGCGTAGCAGTGGCACGGATTTAAAACTTTGAGTTCAGTAGACGATGAAAACAAAATCTTCATTGCTGTGACTATCGGCTAATGTCATTGTCATGTTTCTTTAGAATTCACATCAGTCCACACACGAAAATTATGAAAATTTACAACTCCAAGATCGAATTTATTTATCATCATCGTGAATATGCAGTCAAACGTTGTCGGTGAAATTTTCGGACACCCTGTATGTATACGAGGTCTGATCAGAAAATAACCCAACTTTATTTTTTTAAACTTTATTATTAATTTTACACAAATTTTCAAAGTTAAAATGGGTATATTCTCAATGAATATTCATTGGCAGTATAAAAATGTTGACAGACTTATGTATGCATACTGCACACTGTAGTATTGTAGAAGTGGTAAGAAGGTACTTCGAAATAAAACATGAAAACTGTCATCATGCACGCTTCCTTGTTGGATATAGAGATTGCACCGTTTATTTAACACCCTTTTTGGCCGATTGCGAAGTAGATCTCTTGAGTATAAAAATAAAGTCTAATTATGTCGCTCAAGACTACATCGAAAGTTCTAGTGAAAACAAAAAACGAACGGCTATGAACAGTCTAGGCCAAAATGAAGAAGGCCCTTGGAAGTCGAAAATATTGTCCCAACATTCCAAGTTATTTCATTAATATCTAAAAATTATGTACGCACCAAAATATTACCACCTACCACTGACGTTAATTTATCCATCTGTAAAGATTTTACTTTTAATGTATATAATAAATGAGTTCATCTGCTCCCACTATAGTAAATAGACTAATACATTGTTTTTAAGGAGGTAAGTGGATTTCACCGTAAAAGTGGAAGTTGCTATAGAGGTAACTTACCTCCCGTAGGGAAAAAAATGATTTCGAGTTATAAATGGATATTTTATGAACAAATAAATATAAATATTTGATGAACATTACATTTTATTAATTATTAATAATGAATATTTATAGTAATTGTACAGTTACTACATTTAGTAACATTTATAAAATCTGGATAATTATTCCCCTCGCGTTTACTAATTCTCACATTTTTATCAAAATGATTTGACCGCTTCAGTCACGGGAGGCTCAATATTATCTGACTGATCCATTAAAACAGCATGATGCGACGTACTAGGTACTAGAACCTGGAGTTGAACTGTCATTGTAAAGAATCCTGTTGGCTATTTCATTTTTGTTACTTAAACTGTCAGCAACATAACTTTCTGCAATTGTGGCTAATTTCCACCCACCATGTCTCTTGATTGCTAATACATCTACTCCTGTATTAGCCAGTAACATTGCCGATGTTCTTCGAAATGAATGGCCTGTATATGTTTCAGGATGTTCTAGTTTCAAAAACTGTGCAATCTTATGAGGAATCATAGAAAGAGTATTTTTGCGGAATGGTTGGTTGTAACATCTACTTGATAGCGCATAAAAAAGCGTGAAATTTCAGTTTTAATTTCCAATCTAATCTTGATATATTTCTTGACAATTCCTAGGTGAGAAACAGAACCCAGACGAGAAGTAATTGTAAACGTACATGACGTACCATTTTTAGAATCTGGAATTGTAACTAAAATAATGTCATCGAAATTTTTTAAATTGACGTTGACTCATCAGTACGGCATCCTCCTGCAATGTCTAAGACCGTTACTATCTTCATTAGCAAATATGTGTTATGGGGTGCCTGAACGAGACAATCGTTGACTTGTTCTCTTGTATAAAAACGTTTGTCTTTTTAGGTGTATAGCCGTCATTCTTACGTTTCAAAAATGCTCTCAGCTTGGGGTATTTTGATATATCCATGTTCTCCTCTATGAAAATAATAACTTAATCACTGAATATTCATTCCACAAACTCGCTGGTAACTTTAAAGTTCTTGACTTCTCCATGAAATATGCTAGCAGTAACATTTCAAAGACACCAGGATATTTGTTCTGGCACCATTCTTTGAAATTCCTATATGCTCGTTCGTAGCGCACTTTCGACTGCTCGGGCAATAAAAATTCGCAGGCAGAATTTGCTGCACTTTCTATTTGAAAATCACTCATTTAGAAATAATAATTCAAAACCAACAAAAATGCAACATTTATGTAACTTTGTTTATACACACTTTAGAAACGACAAAATCCAAACAACCAAGGTGACCTTGCAAGATTTCGAATAATGTTAAAATTAATTGATTAAGAAATGTCAAACAATAAAACATAATCTTCAATTCATGAACCATAAAGAACTGTGGAAGCAGATAAAATATTATACACTACGCAGCAGTTAAGGATAATTTACCAGTCTCGGACTCTATTGCCAGCCCTCGCTCCGCTCGGGCGCAAAATCTTCCTCGACTGGTTAATAACACTTACCTCCCTTATGATGTAAATAACTATTTCACATAACCTTACAAACTTCGTTTATTTGATAAATGTCTAACTTGTCTAATTTACAATGTCATTACGTGCGGTAATAGGTACATTTGAAACAATGTCAAATTATAGTCATTACATAACGGTTGCAGATAAATAAATTTGTTTACGCCTATTGTATAACTACATCACTATGTTCTACAATCCAGTCCAGATGTTTTCCTAAATCCGTGAACACAGAAGGAGAACATAGTTCACAGAGGGTTGTTCCAATAGACACTAAACCGATTTGAACCCCATTAAGGATCAACGGTCCACCAGAATCTCCACTGCATGTACCTTTGTTTCTGTAACCGCTTGTACAGATATTCAAACTAGTTACGTAAGTTATATTATAAATATTTCTGTTGTAATAGTCCCTACAGTCATCAAGATCGTGAACCTCAACTTCAACGTATCTGAGAACAGGTGAAATATCACGCAAGGTGGGAGTGTGATCCAAATCCTTGGTAAGGCCCCATCCAATGCTTGTTACTATTTCGTCGTCATATGTCTTGTTGGCGTCATTTCGACTGGGCAAAGGAACGGTTTGAATGTAATCATTTAATGTAACTGATTCCGACAATTTGATCAGTGCTATGTCGTTCTGGAAAGTCACCAAGTTGTAGTTCTCGTGAAGGATAACTTCCGTTCCAGTTAAGTACACTTGGCTATCTTCGGCCACGGTAACATTATGGGCTCCTAGGATAACGTCTACGGTGGTGATGCTGAAACAAAAAGTATATTATGAATATAACAGGATAAATGTTAATTTATATGTTACTTGAGGTGACTGATGTGTTAAAAGATCGATATATTCCATATATCGATGTAATCTAAACTTTGTAGGTGTAACTCCTTAAGCAATTTTGGAGAGAACCGTTACACATAAATAAATGTAATAAAATTTCTAAATGAATGAGTTATTGATGTGAATCACATATGAGCTCATTTTCTCTAAAACTTTTATTACATCAAGAAGAAATTATTAGGTACATTATTTTTAAGAAACACTGGTTTATAATCCCGCGAACCAAGGGTTTCTCCTCTGAATTCTTTCGGATAGAACCGATTCACGTAAAACTTGGGCTGTAACCAGAAAATACCTCAAGAAACAAAAGTTATATAGTGCCGATGAGCGCTTTTGCCCAGGGAGTGGAAAAATAAAATATTGAAAATAACCTAGGAATAGATAAAGCAATCAATTTTAAGCAAAAAGTATCCTATGAACATTTTTCGATAAGTCAATATTTTCTGAGTTATTGGTGATTGAAAGTGTACATTTATTATTTAAAAAATGACGTTTTCAGTAGTTTTTCTCGAATAACTCGGAAAATAGACGTTCTATGAGAAGAATACATCACGAAGAAAATGAAGATTATAGAAGAAGAAAAAGACTGAGTTTTTTTTCATTTAGGAAAAGAATTTATGTAATGTATCCTATTTGTACTATCAAATCATTTCAAACTGTTAAAAACTATTTTGTCTTAAATATAGTGTTAATAGGGGTAGTTTTTTTAAGGGTTGAAATTTTGTAATAAATGATTTATAATATCATATACTATTAAAAAGATTTCTATCTATAAGATATGCGCTATAATATTATATTTTTATCATTAAGGGTGTTTTTAAGGGTTGAAACTTTATAAAAATAACGTAAATTATAACTCATAATATAAAACAATATTTATTCTATATATTAAGATATGAAAACACACATTAAAGGCCTATATGGTTTATTACATATTTGTTACTGCCCATGGTCGAAAAATCAACAATAAAAATGTTTGCAAGAATGCGGTACCACATCCGGAACACACTGTATAATAGTTTTCTTCATCGACTAATTGTACTTACGCTATAGCACAGTGGGCTGCAGTGAGAACATAATTCGATGATATCAACGAACCTCCACAAAACGAGTTACCATTTATTACCAATGCAACTTGGAATGGAAATTCATGGGGAGTAGCTTCTTCTCCACCAATTATACGAGGAATAGTTGGAGATAAGTCAACATATCTTTCTTTGAACGACTCCCAGTCTGCAGCTATCTGAAATGTCAAAATGTCCAAATAATTTACATATTTTAAATCGTAGTAAAACAAGAACACAAGAAAGAAATGTTTTCATATGTTTTTTAACAGAATATGATACCCTCTGTATTTTGACGATAGAGCTATAAGAAATGCTCTAACGCGTCAGGATTTTTCCCTAATCTCAAAAAAATAGTTCAAAATCAGGAGAAACCTGGATTTTTTGTTAACGTAGTTGATATGTTAACAGGGTCAAAACTTTTTATTCCTGCACTTTTAGTTGCAGCCATTTTTATCCAATTTTGAGATTTAAAATGCCTATAACTCCTCAAGATTGCATTTTAGAGAAAAAAGTGCAAGAATAAAAAGTTTTTATTTTGACCCAATTAACACGCTTGTTTATAGTACCCCTATTTTAGCGTTATAGTCTGTCCGAAGTCATTTGAACATGTATAAAACGCCTAGCAATAAAATTTAATGAGTTTCATAGGCGTCCATAAAAATATTTTCTGCTAAAGGTAAAAAAATTATAATAATTTGTATATAATGTGTCTATTATATTTTAAGAGTTAATTGTATAATATTACTTGTTGCCCGAGAGACATACCTATAAGTATAATTATTGATAATCTAGATAGTACATATCAATCTAGATAATACATTGAAATATCAAAAAGCAAATAATAATTTGAAAATAGAATAAAAACCAACTTATCCATCCTCAACTGGCATAGAATTATAGTGTTATTAACGTATCATTGGCTAATATGTTTCTTCAGCGCAGTGGAATACTAGTCTTGCTTTCATCTACAGAATAATACATAATTTATTTTTTATTTAAATAATTTTGTCCCTATGGGCACAATGAGCAACGGCAATTAATTGTGACAAAGAACCGCTACTATTTTTTTAATGCCTTAAAGAAATCCTTCCTATTTATTTGCTGACGCATTACTCAAATATTGACATAATTGTCAGTAAATACAACTCAGAGACTAAAGTATTAAGAACGGGATTTTGTGACAAAATTTTCGCTCTTATCGAAGTATATAAACATCTCCCTGGACTAGAATCTATTCCTCTTTCAACTGTCGCTAAGATAGAGTTCAGATTTAAAGAGGAAGGGCATGTCAGAGATTTACCGAAATCTGACAGACCTTCAGTTGACGACGATGTAAATTAAAATGCTTTTCTCGCTGTTCAGTAACACTCAGGACGTTCTGAATGCGGACTTCTCGAGATACGAAGATTAAGAAGGCTACTATCCATTTGTCAAACTCTGGAAAAGGATATCCAGAAGCAGTTACGTTATTGTCTAAGAATTGTGTTGACAGATCTCTTCTGTTACATATTTAACATTCCACAAATTTAATACAACCCCCTGTTTGACACATATGTTGTTCAATTTAATCATACCTATTTGATGAAAATTTCGTACTTCTTCGTTCTTTTTTTATAGGGTGTAACTTTAAATAGGGGTCAGGTTCTTTAGAATATTCATCAGAATAGAATTTTCCACAGAATACTACTTTTTTTGTGTAAATAGAGAAGGGAAGTACCTTGAAGAAGACAAGTACCAAAAATGTATAAAGTTAATAATAAAGTTTTAAAATTTTGAAGGTCGGTTATTTTCTGAATAGACCTTGTATAAAATTTAAGATATTAGGCAACAAAAATTATGTAACTTCATGGTTTCAATTATGTGTGCAAATTGTTAACATTCTCGCGTTTAAACATTCTTGCGTGAATAAAATGCTATTTTAAACAGTTATACAATAAATAGCTACGAGTTGACTAAACTTTAGTTACCGATATTTGCTTGTCAGAAATATGTGCCTCTAAATAAATGCTTTCAGTTATTTCCTTTATTGTAATTACATATTACTCCAGTATCTTAAGTTAGAGTGATATACTTAAGATTAAAAATTAGAAAAAGTCTTCGGTCCTTTTTATCCATTTTATTACGCAATCATTAGATAAGTGGTTACTATCTTATAATAATTTTATAATTATATTATAAATATGTATGTAGACCATACTGATACCGATCTGTCGGTGGTATTTTATCTTGTGAAGTATAGTACCTAATCATTTTCTTGTTATATTAACACACAATATATCATTATGTGATAAGCGCCTTATCATGTTAATACAAACACCTGAGTTTATACAAGTATAGTCTTCATTAATAAGATTTAAACTACTTTTTCAATTGATTTTTTTTATCTTAATAGAGACCTCACGCTGAATTTTTCTTATTGGTATTTAGTTATATGGGGTGTAACAATGGAGAAGCTTTTTCATCGTCCAAATTTAAGAATATTTTCTTGTATATGTGTCCGGAAAGGCTTCATTTTCGAAATTTTTCAGGTGTTTAATTAAGCAACCGCTAATTAGAATGTAGAAATAGTAAGATCCTATCTATCATGGCTATTTTGCATGTTGGTTTTTGGTCAAGGGTGATGCTAACAACAGAATACAAGATGTTTCTTTGAAAGATAATGTTATTGAATAAATTCAAAACGTCAAGTACGTACTTTTGATGTATATAACGACATTTAAACATATTTTTAATTTTTACTTTGGATAATTATTAATTGCTAATTGTTTGCTAAATATTACTAGAGTAGTTATTTCTATTTCTATTGTCTATGCCATTAGATATCTTTTGCATATCTACACTTTTGTTATCTAAGAACAATGAATGATTTTATTTAATAGAATTTTTAAATGTATTAAATGTAGTTAGTTTAATATATTTAAAATAAAGTAAAAACCAAGATATTTAAGTTAAAAATAAAGGGTGAAAACATTGAAAGAAATCCTTTGTAGACAATACATCAATAACGTGACTTTTGACATTAAAATTATGTTTCAACTCGAACTAATGGTGCAGGTATTTATATTTTCTTCAAAAATGAGGTAACGCCACTGAAAATACAATATGTTGTAATTACTTGAATGAAAATTTCATTTAGAAAATTGTCAAGGTTACCAAATTATACATTTGGATAAATATTCAATTTATTTAAGTGATTTTACCAGATATCTTCAATATAGTCGTAAATTTTTTCTGGATTCTAATGAAATCCATGCTGCCTTAAAATATCAACAACTTCTATCTCGAAAATGACAGCTTCGTGGATAAATCTTTACATAAAGAAATATTCTTAAATTTCTACGAGAAAAACGTCCATATTTAATATTTGTGCATAACATCAGGTTCAAGTGATTAGTGTTTTCCCTTTTTTACTCACGATAAAAAATATTTACTTACCGATAAGCTACACACAAACAAAACAATTAGAAGCCCTGAAGCCTGTATCATTTTCGCCCACTTCTACAAAAGGATGGAAAGTATTGTGGTGCATTGTTACTTATATGTCACCGGATAGATAACGAATATCAAAGTATATCGATTATCATCAGTAAATTAAGTTTTCAAATTAGTTAATAAATTTATAGACGATTATTTTAAGATATTTTACCATAATATGTAAATTAAAATACATTTGTCAGTCAGTTTTTTACTTTTTTGTAAAGGCATTAAGCTTAGATCTGTGTACATCCTCAGATAATGTAAACATTCAGAAAAACATCCTATTTTCTTGTTTCACCTTCGACAAAGTTGGATCACGTAAAGAGACAGCTGCTACAAAGAAATCTTTTTCTTTAATTTTAATTTATATACAGGGTGTACTGAAAAACACTAGCATAAATTCGGGGCCAGATAGCATTTCAAAAAATATTATAAATTGTTCCTATGAACCATGGGCGTATCTTTTTCCGTGTTCAAGATAAAGGGCGTTGAAAATAATTTTTTAGAATCTAGTTTCGGTCCTATCTTCGACAAAATTCGACCGAATGAACTTAAATTTTGTTATGTGGAGTTTCTGGGGATGCTAAATGCTCTGAATTTGGCTATATCGTTCAGTGCAGTACACCGCGGGAACATTTAACTAACTTTTTTGAGGTTAATCATTTTGTCACTTGCTGTTATGGCAAATTTTATTCTAAACAAAAAAGATGCTCTTGTAAGAAGTGATAAAATTTGCCCGTTTTCGAGAAAACCAAGCAAAATGCGCCAAAGTCTAGCAGCTAGGATCACAAATTTTTGTTTTTTATTTCAAGTAGGCTTTGGCACCTAGTTACTATCACTATTAGTTTCAGTAATAAAACTCAAAATCGAAGATATTCTTTTAATGGTATGTAATGATAAGTAATAGTTAGTTTATTTCTGGAAAAGTTTAACACATACTGAATACAATTCAAAAAAAGAAAAACAACAAAAATAACTAATTATTACTAACAGAAAATTAAGTAAGTAATTTTCTCATGGCACAATTTGATACATTTATTTTGCAGTAGGAATTTTTGAGCAAGTAATGAATTATTGTAGTGGATTTTACTAGAAAACGGCTCATACTATTAAAATCTAACAAGAGTACCCTACAAAATATGATAGATTTTCATATTTTCGGTTCAGGAAGCAGAAATTGCGTACAAAAAAATTGTGAAATTTGCACCATGATCCCGCATTCTCTTATGCTCCTGTAGCAAAATTTGATTTGTATATTATACCGATTATTAACTATATAAATAGTAATACAACCACAAAGTTTCGTTATTTAATCTTAAACCGTTTCGAAGTTATGAAATAAAAACTCCTTTCCTGAGTTACTCCTTCAAGGGGCTGTATCTCCCTTAGGGGCCGCCACTGACAAAAACTCTACTAAGGTTTTCATCATATTTCGACATGTTTTACATACTTTCCAATTTTGAGTACTTATTTCGTTAACACCTTGTATAATAAATACATTTTTCTTTAAAATTTTCGAAAATATGTTTCCCAAGAATGATTAAATCTCTAATTATATGAAGTTTAAATGATTTATAGACTGTATTGTGATAATTCGAGTAGTATGAAGGATTCAAATTATAATTTTCTATATGCCATTTCCAAAACTGGATTCTAAATAAAAAAAATTGGAAAATAATGCGTTTTTAGAATAAAGTGGAAGATTTTCAGAAATATAACACAACCACATAAAAAAATTGACTTTCGGGACCAGAAGTCATACCATATTTATTATGCCTTTTTTGGGTCGCTGAATCCGAGGCTCATTTAATCCCATCACCTCAGAATTTTTCATAACCTCAAAAAAACCGATATTCTAAACAATTAAACCATATAACCTTAAAAGACTCAAGTTTCCAACGCTAAATCCAATTAACTAAATCCCATAAACATTTAACCCAATGATATCCCAACCTAATAAGCCCATGAACCCAAACCCTATAACCAAGGAAATAAATCATAGGCAATCTTGTATTATTGCAAAACATCACATAGCTGAGGTGTCCTTGAAAACACTAGTAATCTAACCCTAAAAATTCCAATAACCCTATAACACCGTAACTTCATAACCCCATAACCCCATAACTAATAAATCATAGGAAATCTGTATTATGACTAAACGTAACGTGGTTGAGGTTATATTAGAAACCTATGCATTCAAACCCCAAAACCCCCATGATCCTACAATTCATAACCCCACGATTCCCTAACCAGTACTTCCAGTAACCAGTTTGAGTATTTGATCTTCCAATGCTCAAAATATTACTTTAAATTGTTTTCTCAAGTATTTACAAATTATTGTTGTTTTTGTTGTAAAGCTTACCTTATTCTTATTATTTCACCCTATTTTGGGGATGTGGATTAGGATTTACCATTAGAAAATACACAAAATCTACGTACTCATGTCTTTACAGTGTTATTTGTGAATAGTTGAATGATGGTTTAAAAAAAATAATAGTAGCAAAGTATAAATTTATTAGAAGCTACTATGTGACAACATCAGAATTTGCTTCAATCCAATCCAAATGTTTCGCCACGTTCGTGAAAATTGAGGGAGAACATAATTCACATAGAGTTGTACCAATAGACACCAAACCAATTTGGATACCATTGTGTATCAGCGGTCCCCCAGAATCTCCTCGACAGGTACCTTTGTTTTTATAACCGCTAGTGCATAGGTTCAATTCCGTTACATACGCTATGTCATAAATATTTCTATTATAATAATCTCCACAATTTACAAGTGGCTGAATTGCAACGTTAACATATTTTAAAACCGGCGAAATATCTTTTAAACTTTCGGGGTGGTCCAAATCTGCCGTGAGGCCCCATCCAGTACTTGTTACAACTGTATTTTCATAAGTGTTGTTAACTTCACTTCTGGATGGTAATTTAATCGTTTGGATGTAATCGTTAAGTGTGACTGTTTCAGACAATCTGAGTATTGCTATATCGTTCTGGTAGTCGGTTCTGTTGTATTGTTCGTGGACGTGAATTTCTGATGCTGTCAGACGAAGTTGTGTGTCTTCATCGGCAGTAAGATTGTGTGCACCTAATATGATTTCTACAGTCGAGATACTGAAATAAAATGAGAAAAAGTATTTTTAGTTTTCAGAACAGTGTTTAAAATGAAGTGCGTATTGTGTACTGTTGCTACGTGGTCGTTACTTCATTAACAGAGTTACAAAGAAAGTACCCCACAGTGTTTTGACTAGCGAGTGGTTTGTGTTTTAACCTTAATTATATGACAAAAAATTAAAATTCTAATATAATTACACTCACACTGTTGCACAATGAGCTGCAGTCAATACATAGTTATTTGACACCAGTGACCCTCCACAAAATGAGTTACCATTTATCAATAGGCCGACTTGAAATGGATATTCATGGGGAACAGCTTCCTCTCCACCAATTATACGTGGGATAGTTGGAGATAAGTCGACATATTTTCCTTGACGCAACCACCAGTCTGCAGCACCCTAAAGATGTTACGAATTTTAAACAAATTTGATCCAATAGATATATTGCGCTATTCTAGATAGAAAACTGGATAACTGATATACACCAGTTTTGAAAAATAATATAAATTTTATCTAGGCGCAAATAACCAAAGAAATAATTAATTCCATATTAATTTAAGTTTACAGCATACCGACCCAGGAACAATAAGTACTGGAGAGGTACAGGACAAGATGTTCCAAGGTTTCACTTTCACAAGCCATTCGAGACTCGAAGATTAGAACAAATGGGAGGACAAGATTGATACTCTGGAAAGATGGAACCTGGTATGGTTGACGGAGGGCAGGGGGACTGGGGCAGGAATATATAAGGCTTCTTTTGGTTATATCAGCGGACAGTCTTAGAACAGTTCAAAATAGTTACCCAAGTGTATTGTCTGTATGTTTTGACTTAGATGTTCTTATGAATGGAATGGTCAACTGATTTGAACCGTCTTAGAACCGTTCTGTGTCGGAACCAAAACAAAGCTTGCGACTCAGACCCAGATGGAGCAAATTACATTCTGGCGAGGTTATAAACAGAAACTCAGGTACATATTATCTGACAGTCAATCAGCAATTAAGGCATTAGACACACATAAGCTAAATTCAAAACTTGTGTGGGAATGTTTACAAATACTGACTGAACTAGCTACCACTAATACAGTTAGATTGTGCTGGGTGCCAGTACACAAAGGCATTGACGGAAATGAGAAAGCGGATGAACTTGCTAGGAAGGGATCCGAAACAGAGTTCATTGGTCCGGTGTCTTTCTGTGGCACATCTCCCAATGTGGTCAGGGGGGCTCTGGGCAAATGGACTGAATCAAAACATAGTTTCTTATGTACTGACTTGAATAGAACCTAACCACAGGTAAAGAAGAAGTTTACATCAGAAGTAATGAAGTAAATAGTGTTCGGAACTAACAGCAGACTTGACTCGAAAATCACAAGCTTCCCTAAGAATAATGTTTATTTTTCTTTGTTACGTATATGTTGCAATCAGTAAAACCTACGGTTCTTTTTTGGTATCTTACTTTTGTAACACAATCTATTGATAACTAAGTATTGTAATTATTACTCGATTATTGGTTTATAATTAGTAGGAACTATGATACAAATCTTTTAATGGTATCTTATCTTGAACAGAATAACAATATTTTTTTACCAATTTCATTGGGATTCAAGTGTAGTACAAAGTTAGCTATCGATATACTATTTTATCTGCTCCCACTATAGTAAATAGACTCTATTAATACATTGTTTTTAAGGAGGTAAGTGGATTTTATCATAGAAGTGGAACTTGCTATGGACAACGAGAGGTAAGTGAGGTAACTTATCTCCCTAGGGAAAAAAGCGACTGCGAGTTATAAATGCATATTTTATGCACAAATGAACAGAAATATTTGATGAACATTTTATTAATTAATACGAAGGAATATTTGTAGCAATTATACAGTTATTACATTTTTAGTAACATTTATAAAATCTGGATAAATAATTATTCCCCTCTGTAGTAAATAATACTTACCTCTTTATGATGTAAATAACTTTATCATAACAAAATATATAAATATTTACAATATTTTAAATACTTTCTACATTATATAGTAATTAATAGTTATACTATACTCGTATAAAAATTAAAAATATTATCCTTGTAAGTAAAAAGTCTAAAAATAAGACTGCACTAACATTGGGTTGTTGATTTCACATATGTCACATATTTTCCTGTTCATTTCTGCGCAACTTCTATAAAATATTTGTAATGACTTAAAAATTTTTCAATATATACGTTAAAATATTAGATTATTGCAATCCATATGCAATGATGGACTCGCCTTACTTGAGGTGAATTAAAGATTAATTCTCTTACTTGAATAAATTTCGATAAGATAGTAGATAATTAATATAATTTTTATCCATAAAAATAGTAAATTATAATAGATATAATTTTCAAAGTCATTGTGTCCTGCAAAAATAAATGATTTACTTACCGATAAGTTACATACAGACAAGAGTATTAAAAATCCTGTAGCCAGAATCATTTCAACTCACTTTTATGAAGAGATATCAAAATCTTCAGTGCACTTATATTTATACTTTCATGTCATTGATAGATAAACCATTCATATCAAAGAAATTATCTTTAGAAAAGAAAGGTATCAAAATAGTTGACAATTCGATAACGAATTCCATTTTAATTTTATTGAAATCTTAAAACATAAATGACAATAACGGTTACAATGTAATAGCTAATTCTGCATCTATTCAGTATTTATGAGATACAATTATTGCGTCCCACAAACAAGTCTATTGTTAGAAGGCACATTTTGGTCAAAAAATTTGTATCGTACTCTCGGGATTTTACAGCATACACTGAAAGAAATGTGACCATAAACTATATTATTGTGTAACTAGTATACAACGTTGTCTTTTCTTTACGAAATTATAGCTGTAACTGTTATTAAAGTGTTCCATACTCGCTATTACTACATCATGTTCCTTTATCTCATGTAAAGTTTATTACTATCAGCGGTTTCTAATAGGGCACACAATTTTTAAAATTTAGACAAGATATATATATGAAAAACAAAACAATTAAATTATTATGTATCCCGCAAAACATGTATCTATACTGTTTATTCTCATCCAACTAGAAGAAGCGTAATAACCGATGCACAGGGGACTGTCGCAAATTTTACGATCATAACCGATTATGCACCAAGAGGTGACGATCACAACTAAAAACGGAAACAATCAATATGAAAACATAAACCCTATACCAAATATATATGTAATTCATTATAACCTTTATTTCATAGATGCATAAGATGTATTATGTAAGCCTCAATTCTTGAGGCTTACATTATATTATCTGTATCTTAAAATTATTTCTATTTGTCCTGGTAATGTGAAATAAACTATAAACAAGCATGGTTCTGTTTTGAAGTAAATGATCTATATACAGGGTGTAAGAAGTTTTACTACCATTATATCAGCATGAAATAGAGTAATTATAAATTAACAAAAAAAGTTGTATATTACAGGGGCGTAAGATTAACAGTTTTCAAAATACAGCGAGTATTAATATTGAACAGTTTCATCAAAACGTGACAACAGCGCTTAACCTAACGCTACACAGCTGGTGCATACCACGTGTGCACGCCGCAGACTTGTCCTACGGAAAAAATGTAAACAATTATTATTGTGAAACATTTAGTAAATTTCAAGATAATGGTTTTCCAGTTCTTCGTTTCTTATAAATTTCAGTTTCAGTATTGGGTCACTCGGTATTAAATTACATGCAACAATAGAAGCTTATACTTTCCTTTGTAATGAAGAAGTTCGAAACTTATAAACCTTGTATAAAAATGAACTAGATTTGCTGTGATTTTGGAAGTGATATTGAAAGGGAAAACTTGTTTTATAGTAAAAGTTGGATAGGCGCCTTTCGGGATCATAAACAGAAAGTTTAATATAATAAAAGAACTGCGAGACCCTTTATAAGTTTGAATTTCCACTTATCATCTTGTCAATATCCTCCAATTTATAACGAAAGTTTTTTTGCACTTTAATTAGAGGAACAAAAACTGTAGACGTTAAAGAAGTTCCAAAAGTACTTTGCAGTTTGTAAATACATTTCTCTTTCAAAACATCCAAACGAACAACAGGGCTGGAATTTGAAATAATACTCAAATGCGCTTCCTAAGTTTGTGAAAAGAAAAGAAGATATTGTTACTATTACTAAAAGTGTGGATTTTGTATGACTATCCGTATGAATATATTAAATTTAATTTGAATTTCAAATTAAGGTAGGCAGTAAGTCTGGGTGAGATATAACCTACAATCTATATGTAATATCTTATACAGGGTGGCTCAATAGTGTGACAAAGTTCAATATCTCCCTTATTATAAAAATTTGAAAAGAAATATTTTATAGGTGTAATGAACTTAAAAAAGTTCACATTTTAAAAATATTTTGAATTATACATGGTGATGCATTAGAGTGGAGCATCTTTAAGGTGGTTTTTCTTAAATGGAACACCCTGTATATTTGTATTCTACAGAAAATTATCTTTCCAGTGAAGTTATTTGAAAAAATAAGTTAATTTTCGCTGGAACAGGATTCTGTAAATCTATCCACTGTGCAGGTACTACCAGTAATTATGAAAAAATATTTTGTGGGCATGCGGACCAAAGATGTGGACAAACAACAAAATAGCAAAATCTTTATAATTTTGTACAGGGATACATAAGCCCCAGTTTAGCGAATTTAGAAGGATATTTTCTCGATTATTTTAAATGAAACACCCGGTATATTATTTTATTTTTGGATTAATAAGTTAATTACCTGCAACTCGCGTAACTCTAACCGTCTTCTGCAATCTTCATGATTTTATTGTCATTTAATATTCTTTGAACAGTTGTTCTTCCAATATCCATTTAAAGACCAATTTCTCGTTGACTAATATGAGGGTCTTCAGTGACAGCCAAACGTTTAATTCATTTTCTTCAGTGAATGTTCTTCTTTCCTAACATTTTTACAATAAGCTACAGTATCGGAATTATCAAAACGATCCATTACTTTTCTAAAAGCTCGTACACTGGGCTGCCTTCTCTGTGGATAGCGTTGATGATAAATTCGTGTTGCTAATAAAGGATTTTTATCGCTTACACCCAATACATAAATCATATCAACCATTTTGCTTGAGAAAAGTTAATTTTGAAGTATTTTTAAACTTACAACCTAGCACTTGTCAGTTTACACTGCTGACAAACCAGTAAACTTGCAGATTTTGTTATTTTATGGCAAACTTATGGCCTACTAGAGTACGTAAAAAAAAAATAATATTTGCAAAATTAAAGGTGTTTTACTAGGAAAGTGCCAATTTCCGAAAATAGTGATTTTAGGCATATGATATTATTTACAAAAGCTGTAGGTAATTAACATATTAATCCAAAAATAAAATAATATAGCTGGTGTTTCATTTAAAAAAATCGAGAAAATGTATTTCGAAATTCTCTAAACTGGGGCTTGTGTGTAGAACACCCTGTACAAAATTATAAAGATATTGCTATTTTGTTGTTTGTCCACATCTTTGGTCCACGTGCCTACAAAATATTTTTTCTTAATTACTGGTAGTACCTGCACAGTGGATAGATTTACAGAACCCTGTCCAGCGAAAGTTATCTAATTTTTTCAAATAACTTGGTATCGCCGCATCGAATACAAAAAACAAAGACATCGCTATAGAATACAATTTGTAAAAATATACAGTGTTCCATTTAAGAAAAACCACCTTAAAAATGCTCCGCTCTAATGCATCACCCTGTATAATTCATTTTTTTTAAGTACATCACTCCCATAAAATATTTCTTTTAAAATCTTTATAATAAGGGACATATTGAACTTTGGCACACTATTGAGCCACCCTGTATGCCATTGCTACTCTATGCCTACGATGTTTTGGGAAATAACTACTCTGTGGACTACAGGAACTATTCAATATTAGTCAGCAGAATCATTACTAGACATAGATTGGTTTAGAATTTATTACTCCATCCAACACATAAGTACGTAGTTTTTTGTTTATTCTGAAGTATGTATTCAGCAATTCTGTCCTGACAGCAAAAGCAGCTCAGTACCACCAATGTATTTTTTCTTCTTATTTTATTATGGGACGTTGTCAAAGCTTTCGCTAACAGGACAAATGTCCCTGTCAAAAATTCTACATAGCAACAAAAATTCTTATTATCATTATTACTCCCTGGATATTTACTTCTTAATCTGGAAGCGTTTGCCTGAAAACCGATAAAAAATGACATATTGTTTGTGAAGGAAAACTTCCGAATGTTTGAATTACGTTTGAATAATGGCCGGGGTGTTCTTGTATATTGTGAAATAAATCAGTAATTCAGCAGAGAATAGGAAAGTTCAGATTGATCGTTTACCTAAAAGGTTCCTCTACCGGCTCCAGTAAATAATGGCGCGTTTCTTGAATTCGCCCATACCTAGAAAGCGAGAAAAGGGAAAATCAATAGGCTACTAATATGTTAGGGCCACTCTTACGTAAGTCATGGATCACGTTTTTATTAATGTTATGGAAACGAAGGATATGAATAAATCGTAAGCATAAATAAAAAGGAAATCTTCGATTTATTATACTCGTAGAATAGATAGACTACTTTCCGTTATTTATATTCAGCCTACGTTCTACTTAATTGGCTTATATTTTTGTAGAAGTTGATAAAAATTATTAATAGTTATTTATGGTACTAGTGTGTTACGGTATATTGTACAGGGTGTAACTAAATAAGTGTAAAACATTTAAAGGGGTGATTCCTCATCGAAAAAAAGATAGGATCTTTCATATAAAGAAACTTCATTGGAGCATCCCTTGTTAAGATACAGCCCCTTAAAGGGGGTACATAAAATTTGTTTAACAATTTTTTTCACAAGCACTAAACAAGTTACAATATTGAAATTAACCTTGACTTTTCTACTACCAAAAAGACACTTAGCCAGTAATTTATTTGGTTTACCCCATGGTTGTAAGGGGTGGAAAACGCAACCCCTAAAATTTATTTCCAACGTAATTTTTTGTCTTATTATTTTTTTACCATTTAAAAATTTATTTCCGATAGCCTGTTTCATTCTAAAAAAAAATGTCTCTTGAATTTTTTGCCCAAATTAAACCAGTTCGCAGCAAAAAATTATTTTACGAACAACTACAGAGATACATCGTCATAAATGCGGACTGGATTTACTGTTATTTTGTAGTTACTACCTGCATTAAATGATTAAAGGGGAATAATCAAAACTAATTTAATAATAACAAAACATACAACATGTAGAAATCATAGTAAATGTTCAATATGTCTACCTTCAGACATTACGCATGCGTCTAGACGTCGGCGCATTGAGCCACGTATTCGCTCAAATATTCCTGGAGTCTCTCTAATTACCCTGCACGCATCGATAATGCGGTTTCTTAAGTCCTCTACATCGCGAACAGGAGTACGATAAACCAAATGCTGCAAATGGCCCCAAGTAGACAAATCCAGAGGATTGAGATCCGGGGATCGAGCGGGCCAATT